ACTACTGAATACTCCCAGCCTCCCCCCCCCCCACCCCCCACCCCCCCCCCCCACCCCACCCCCACACACACACTCACTCACTAACTCACTCTGACGAATGACTTCTTACTTGAACAAACACAGAGTACTGTCTACTATAGCTCCTTATTTAGACAAATAATGAATTCTATCTTCTATAACTCCTTATTTAGACACTTTTTTGCCTACTATGACTCCATATTTAGACAAAGAATGTTGTCTACTATAACTCCTTATTTAGACAAAGTATTCTGTCTACTATAACTCCTTATTTAGACAAAAAAAATCTGTCTACTATGACTCCACAAAGCAAACACTCCAAGTGACTGTTTTAAGTGTAAGTAAGGTCATGGTACTTCATGTCGGTCGTTGCGCTTCGTCGGCTTCTTGCAGCCTCTCTCATCTACCCAGCATCTCACAGTTCTCCACACCAAATCAAGTACTGAAATGTGTCTCTACCAGCAGGAGATTCATACATAAGCGATCTTCCTTTTTTTCAATAACTTGCCAACGGCCGGTTGCAATCGGACCTCGTCCAGAGCATGGTTGTGATCGCCCCGCTTTAAGGGGGAGCCACAACTGTGTATAACCTGATACGCGGTATGAAGTGGAAACTCTCCAAAGCAATATTATGTCCGTCGTTTGAAATCTGTCTTTCATCTAAGCAAAACTGTACAAAGAGAGCATTTCGTCACAGGGGTACGATACGGATCGGTCGTGCTGAATGGTAGTTAGTGCGACCCGCGCGGCGTTCCTGTGAGCATGTTCTGTAAATACGACATTGACAGGTAAGGGTGGATGGTAAACAAACCTGGCGACAACATTTAACGCTGAGCGGTGTGTCGCCTGGCTCTATGGTAACTGTAGAGTGTGTTACGCTAGAACTAGACAAGAGTTGAGAAATGCGAACATCTGCAAGCGTTGATGAAGGCGCTGTCGCACTGTACATGATGACGTGGTAGATATAAGAGGTCGCAGTAGACAGGAATGGAAGCCGGGTTGCGGTAGACATAAATGAAGGCCAGGTTGCGGTAGACACAATGAAGGCCAGGTTACGGTAGACAGGAATGAAGGCCAGGTTACGATAGACAGGAATGAAGGCCGGGTGGCGGTAGACATAAATGAAGGCAAGGTTACGGTAGACAGGAATGAAGGCCGGGTTGCGGTAGACATAAATGAAGGCCAGGTTGCGGTAGACACAATGAAGGCCAGGTTACGGTAGACAGGAATGAAGGCCAGGTTACGATAGACAGGAATGAAGGCCGGGTGGCGGTAGACATAAATAAAGGCAAGGTTACGGTAGACAGGAATGAAGGCCAGGTTGCGGTAGACATAAATGAAGGCCAGTTTGCGGTAGACATAAATGAAGGTCAGGTTGCGGTAGACATAAATGAAGGCCAGGTTGCGGTAGACACAATTAAGGCCAGGTTGCGGTAGACATAAATGAAGGCCAGGTTACGGTAGACATAAATGAAGGCCAGGTTACGGTAGACACAATGAAGGCCAGGTCGCCATTATGCAAATCCAGTGATCCTCAAAACAAAACGTAGGGCCAAGCAGTATAAGATACAGGTGGGTGAGACTCCTAACTGAGATAACTGGTATCAAACGTATGCGTGAGATCGAATCCAGGTCCGTGACTGGCTGCTCCACGGCGATGACCTGAGATCAGATTATAACGGAGACTATCCTGATTGCTTCAATTTTGAGTTTGTCCAACGTCTGTGTCGAAACGTCGAGGGTCACGCGAGGTAGGATAGTAAGTCACAAATGACCGTCGTGTTGTGTGGTAATGCGCCACCGCGATCAGGAGAATAAAGAGGGTCAACTCCCCTTGACAAGTGTGGCAACTCACCAAGACAAGTATGGCAACTCGCCATGACAAGTGGGCCAACTCGCCATGACAAGTGTGGCAACTCGCCATGACAAATGTGGCAACTCGCCATGACAAGTGGGTCAACTCCCCTTGACAAGTGTGGCAACTCACCAAGACAAGTATGGCAACTCGCCATGACAAGTGTGGCAACTCGCCATGACAAGTGGGTCAACTCGCCATGACAAATGTGGCAACTCGCCATGACAAGTGGGTCAACTCGCCATGACAAGTGTGGCAACTCGCGAGTACACGTGGGTCAACTCGACATTACAAGTGTGGCAACTCACAATGACAAGTGAGTCAACTCGACATGACAAGTGTGGCAACTCACCATGACAAGTGTGGCAGCTCGCCATGACAAGTGTGGCAACTCGCCATTACAAGTGTGGCAACTCACCATGACAAGTGGGTCAACTAACCATGACAAATGTGGCAGCACGCCTTGATAAGTGTGGCAGCTCGCCATAATAAGTGGGTCAACTCGCCATGACAAGTGTGGCAACTCGACATTACAAGTGTGGCAACTCACAATGACAAGTGGGTCAACTCGACATGACAAGTGTGGCAACTCGCCATTACAAGTGTGGCAACTCACCATGACAAGTGGGTCAACTAACCATGACAAGTGTGGCAGCTCGCCTTGATAAGTGTGGCAGCTCGCCATAATAAGTGGGTCAACTCGCCATGACAAGTGTTGCAACTTGCCATGACAAGTGTGGCAACTCGCCATGACAAGTGGGTCAACTCCCCTTGACAAGTGGGTCAACTCGTCATGACAAGTGTGGCAGCTCACCATGACAAGTGGGTCAACTCGTCATGACAAGTGTGGCAGCTCACCATGACAAGTGTGGCAGCTCACCATGACAAGTGTGGCAACTCGCCATGACAAGTGTGGCAACTCCCCTTGACAAGTGTGGCAACTCACCAAGACAAGTATGGCAACGCGCCATGACAAGTGTGGCAACTCGCCATGACAAGTGGGTCAACTCGCCATGACAAATGTGGAAACTCACCATGACAAGTGGGTCAACTCGCCATGACAAGTGTGGCAACTCGCCATGACAAGTGGGTCAACACGACATTACAAGTGTGGCAACTCACAATGACAAGTGGGTCAACTCGACATGACAAGTGTGGCAACTCACCATGACAAGTGTGGCAGCTCGCCATGACAAGTGTGGCAACTCGCCATTACAAGTGTGGCAACTCACCATGACAAGTGGGTCAACTAACCATGACAAGTGTGGCAGCTCGCCTTGATAAGTGTGGCAGCTCGCCATAATAAGTGGGTCATCTCGCCATGACAAGTGTGGCAACTCGCCATGACAAGTGTGGCAACTCGCCATGACAAGTGGGTCAACTCCCCTTGACAAGTGGGTCAACTCGTCATGACAAGTGTGGCAACTCACCATGACAAGTGTGGCAACTCCCCATGACAAGTGTGGCAGCTCACCATGACAAGTGGGTCAACTCGTCATGACAAGTGTGGCAGCTCACCATGACAAGTGTGGCAGCTCACCATGACAAGTGTGGCAACTCACCATGACAAGTGTGGCAACTCGCCATGACAAGTGTGACGTAGTAACGCTCTTGGTAAATATTCCGATCTTTGGGACAACATCAACGTGAGACACATATGACAGCTCTTTAGGAAATGCGAATCAGTCTACGTGAGCAAATCCGTCATTTCACACGGTCAGGAAATGAGTGTTCCTGATAACAGCTGAGGATAGTAATCAGTACAGGCAAATTGTTATAATGATGAATCGCACGCAATGACAGCACTTCCACCAATACAGAAAGCCTGACAATGGCAGTTAGGTATGCAGCACCTACCTGAGTACAGTCACATTGGACAACAGATCGACAGATCGTGTGGCACTGGGCTCAAGTATTTGTATATTTTGGTGGAGACGACCTGTAATCGGCAGCAGATTGCTGGCAGGAGAGACATACTGGAGCTCAAGACGATTTGTGTGACAAGTGGTGGACAAGTGGTGGACTGGCTGCTGCGTGACTGGTGAGAATTGGGGTTCGAACTCGTCAGCCATCGTCATCAATACGCAAATATTACGATGCGGAAAATCGCACATGTATCATTCACGAGAACACAAGCCCGCGTACACAACTCCATGTACACAACTCCATGTACACAACTCCATGTACACAACCCCGTGTACACAACTCCGTGTACACAACTCCGTGTACACAACTCCATGTACACAACTCCATGTACACAACTCCATGTACACAACCCCGTGTACACAACTCCATGTACACAACTCCATGTACACAACTCCATGTACACAACCCCATGTACACAACCCCATGTACACAACTCCATGTACACAACTCCATGTACACAACTCCATGTACACAACAAATAACATACACCTGAGTGCGTGTAACATGTAACGGGTGTATCCGTGAGATCACTTGAATATATACACATACCTTTATCTAGCTGCATGTACAGAAACTCACTCATGTAAATATTCATTCACCTATCAACATTCACATACCCGTTTCTATATCTACAAAACTCCCATTCAACTACTCACGAACACTCACTCGTAATTATTGGAACACATAGCATCAGAACCATGTCCTCTCCGAGGACCTGACCAACTTACTTAAACCCCCTTCTTCTGTCCTCTCCGACGACCTGACCAACTTACTTAAACCCCCTTCTTCTGTCCTCTCCGAGGACCTGACCAACTTACTTAAACCCCCTTCGTCTGTCCTCTCCGCGGACCTGACCAACTTACTTAAACCCCCCTCGTCTCCCACCCGATATCAGGGAGAGGCTCACTGAACTACCCAGTAAAATACCCGCGCCACTCTCATTAAACTACCCGGAGTGAGATCCCTTCCCATCACCCGTCATCACACCACCCAATAACACCCGTCATCACACCACCCAATAACACCCGTCATCTCACCACCCAATAACACCCGTCATCACACCACCCAATAACATCCGAAGTATACCCCTTTATCCATTCTGTAACAGAGACCTCCCCATAAATAGCACACGCGCTGTACTAAGTCGGGTAACCAGAGAATAACAGTGAATAACTCGCTGACGAACAAAGACTGAACTTACTTCTCGGTGAAATAGCCCTGTACGTTGGTCTCTGGTTTGTCATGTCGCCGACTGATGACTGCCTTCATGAGTGCGATGGTGGCAGTAGGCATGGCGCGGGGCCGGAGGGGAAACCTGCGCGGATCAATCAGACAATCGAATCCAGGCAACACATCCTCAGATTGGTAATATCCAGCTACACATAGCCACCTGGTGCGCCTCCAACGTGTGCCAAACCCCACCAGTGACTGACTACCTGTACAGGTGTACAGTTACCTGTAGCGTCCCCGCTCGGTCAGCCAGCGTGTCGGGAGGATTATGCGGGTTTGATATTCGATCTGTGTTGGAAGATGGCCTGGCGTTGTCACGGGGTGACTCGAGGACACAGTTATAATTGAAGCGATCGATCGTGTCTCATTATGTGGAACTACTCTGGGTTGCAGAAATATTGTTTTGTTCCGCAAATAATGTTTACTTTTCAAATGAAGGTGGATGCAAATATATGGGTAACATTAACTAAGAACGTTATTTGTCATGAGACTGCAGGCATGGACACGTTTGCGAATACAATGCTGATCCGGTGAGTGTGGTGATGGGTGATGGGTGGATGAAATGAAGCGGCTTGGGGCAGGGTGTGGGGTGTGGGGTGTGGGGTGGTGTGTGGGGGGGGGGGGGGGGGGGGGGGGAGTGGCAACGTGAGCATCCCCCACCTGACGGGGCTACATGTTACCCTCCCTGCTAGGTGTTAGTTTTAGGGCAAAACACACGAGCATCTTCTACCCCTGTTTATGATGTTCCACAGCAGTGTTCGAGGTACAGTCGAACCATGTATCATTTCTTGTCAATCGACATCGGCCCGGCTAGCCAGCTGGCACGCTGTATGACAACATCGCGCTGTTGCAATGGAACTAAATGACCAGAATCACTCTATGTCCACAGTATTGCTCCGCTCCAATACATCACATGATACGTCGTTCAGATGTGAAACTGACTCTTATTAAAATAGATGTAATCAAATCCTCTGTATATCTCAACCTTCTCCATTTGACGGCATGTTATAGTTATTACAGCACGTGAAGTTGTTCTCTCAATACCCTGTGTCTGACACCCTTACCTCACACGATACACTAAGGACAGCGTGATCCAGACACTCCTTTTTAAAAAGGGAAAATATGCGACATGTTGTTCATATGACACACCGCGCACGATAACAAAAGGTAAACAGTTGTTTTACGGGCGCAACTGCTGCATGCTGGCTCCCTCGCTCATGGACACAATACCCAGGCGGTCAACGCGGGCTGAAGTTGTGTCACATGTAAATTACACGTACATCAACAACGGCTAGATAAAACAAAGCATGTTCCCAGGAGATGGTCTAACTTTCTAGGAGCATTTCCGTCACTGAATATAGAGTGTTTACTTATTCGTTCTGCCATTTTAAGCAATGTCATAGGCGGATCTAGTGTGTGTGTTGTGTGGGTGGGTGGGGTGGTGGGGGTGGGTGGGGGGGTGGGGGTGGTGGGGTTGGGGGTGGGTGTTTGGTCCATGGAGTTTCGATCCTACCTTTTGAAAAGAAAATGTTTAGTATGCTGTAGACAATCCACCCCCCCCACCCCCCCCCACACACATACATCCCTAATATATATCTGCGACCCCTCCCTTTTAAAAACACTGGATTCGCCTTTGGCGATATCTCAGAAAAACATTCATCTTGTGTTCGAATGTCAGCTCTATGATTAGCAGATTTTCAATTAATGGAATTAAATATAAACTGCAAATATATTCATCTTATATACACATCTAGCATGCATAATTCATGTGCTACATTCAGCCTTCACTGATGTAAGTGTTTCGTCATGTCCTATGTGTAATGGGGCGGTATTAACATTTGCGATTCGCTCGTTTACAAACCCATTTAACATTTTTTGTGAAAATAAATGTTTAGATCATTTCAGAGTGTTATAGGTGCCAGGTGCAACTGTTGAAATGAAAATTTAATTCTCATTGATGAAAACTATGTACTATGTGTTATCAGTCGTCCACTTAGCTCACCTCGCCCGACCGCAGAATGTTATGACAGCGTGACACGTTCACCTTGTTGTTGACATGCTGTAGGCTTGTTTTACTGGTATAGAGTACTGTATGGTAGGTTTGTGTCAACACAAATCTGTTGTGTGGATGTGCTTCCTTGTCAATCAGCTTGTTACCTAGCACTTACTGTGAAACAGCTTAAGTTAACAGGGCTCTAATTAAGGGTTTAACGTCCACTTCACAATTAGTGTGACTCGTGGACTGGGGCCCTAATCATTGTGCCACCCGTTAATTAGGAAATTATAATCTATGTCTCCATGTTTACATTGTGCAACTGAATGCCCAGCTTATGTAGATATTCAGGCAGTTTGGTATTCGAGTGCTTGTGTACCGACAACAGCGAGAAGGATGTACCGCTCGGTTGAAAGGGATCCCCGCTCACCTGATGTGTGTGTGACCTGTGACTCCGCTCATTGCTGTGTTTGTGATGTCGAGCGGGTATTCCGATCATTGTGTATTCATCGTTTATATGTTGTGCATTAAATGTTCTGCAACAGTGGTTGTATTGTCTCTTGTAATGTCCCAGACCCCATCCGCACAAAAGCAATCCTCTTGGCAAAGCACCAGGCACCCGGGCTCCCGCATTGCCTGGTACTATTGTTGTAGTGCTGTACGAACTGGAGCGTGGAAACCCCTTCAATATAACATTTCCAATATGGCTGCCATGGCGTAACGGGTGGCTAGTGAGACACGCGGGTAGGAAGTGAGACGGCTAAACATCCTGGTCGGGCGAGTTCCTCCTGATCGGTAGAAAGACGCTTGAGTGCTTTCCTCCCAATCGGGGGTAGTTAGCCAGGCATGAAACCCCTAGGGTTTTACTTACTTGTTTTGTAAGGGGTGGAAGATAGCAGTGCATGGGTGATGACTGGGGACCCAGATCTCGGATACATCTTTGTATATATGGAAAAATTTATTTGTCTATAACTACAATAATGATCTATTTCCAACTGTTTACAAGTTTATATTATTTAACAGTTTTAACAAATAGATTAACACATATCACCGCTTAATATTTTCTTAGTTTTACTCCCTGTATTAAATGCATTAAATATGAATAGGTGGTGCTTGGCGACCTTCTGGTTCAGTGATCCAGGGAGTGTAGAGGACAATAAATAGGTTACTGCTTCCAAGAATGGCTGCTAGATCCGCTATCTGTCGAAGATCTCCTCAAGCCAAGAGATGCAATAGCGAAGGCCAAACTAACTCTATTTCTGAGAGATGGACAGCTACTCGGATGTATATAAATAGAGCAACTTAAGATAAAAATGAAATTATATCAATAACGAAAATAGGAATCATATCAATACAAAAACATAAACTCTACGAATACTAAAGCTCGCAATAGATATGTGTATCCTACTCACACACATAGGCCCCAAAGAGGGCAAGGTCAGCCGAAGGCGACTTCTTAAGCACTTGAAGCACCACATCATGCACCATATCAAGCACCACATCACGCACCACATCATGCACCAAATCATGCACCACATCATGCACCACATCATGCACCACATCATGTACCACATCACGCACCACATCAGACACCACACCATGCACCTCACCATGCACCACACCATGCACATCAAGGACCACATCATGCACCACACCATGCACCACATCATGCACCACATCAGACACCACATCAGACACCACACCATGCACCTCGACATGCACCACACCATGCACCACACCATGCACATCAAGGACCACATCATGCACCACATCATGCACCACATCATGCACCACATCAGACACCGTATCAAACACCACACCATGCACCTCACCATGCACCACACCATGTACCACACCATGCACCACATCATGCACATCAAGGACCACATCATGCACCACATCATGCACCACATCAGACACCACACCATGCACATCAAGCACCACACAATGCACCACACCATGCACCACACCATGCACATCAAGGACCACATCATGCACCACATCATACACCACATCAGACACCACATCAAACACCACACCATGCACCTCACCATGCACCACACCATGCACCACACCATGCACCACATCAAGGACCACATCATGCACCACATCATGCACCACATCAGACACCACACCATGCACCATATCAAGCACCACTTCATGCGCCACATTATTCACATCAAGGACCACATCATGCACCACATCAAGCACCACATGATGCACCACATGATGCACCACATCATGCACCACATCAAACACCACATCATGCACCACACACCACATCATGCAGCACACTACACATCATGCACCACATCATGCACCACATCAAGCACCACATCATGCACCACATCAAGGACCACATCATGCACCACATCAGACACCACACCATGCACCACATCAAGCACCACATACAACATCATGCAATTCATCATGCACATCCAGCACCACATCATGCACCACACCATGAGCCACATGCTGCACCACACCATGCATATTAAGCACCACATACACCATCATGCACCACATCATGCACCACACCATGCACATCAAACACCACACCATGCACCACACCATGCACATCAAACACCACACCATGCACCTAACCATGCACATCAAACACCACACCATGCACCACACCATGCACCACATCATGTACCACACCATGCACCACACCATGCACCACATCATGCACCACACCATGCACCACATCATGCACATCAAACACCACACCGTGCACCACACCATGCACATCAAACACCACACCATGCACCACACCATGCACCACACCATGCACGACACCATGCACATCAAACACCACACCATGCACCACATCATGCACACCAAACACCACACCATGCACCACACCATGCACATCAAACACCACACCATGCACCACATCATGCACATCAAACACCACACCATGCACCACACCATGCACATCAAACACCACACCATGCACCACTTCATGCACATCAAACACCACATCATGCACCACACCATGCACCACACCATGCACATCAAACACCACACCATGCACCACACCATGCAACACATCATGCACATCTAACACCACACCATGCACCACACCATGCACATCAAACACCACACCATGCACCACATCATGCACATCAAACACCACACCATGCACATCAAACACCACACTATGCACCACACCATGCACCACATCATGCACCACACCATGCACCACACCATGCACCACACCATGCACCACATCATGCACCACACCATGCACCACACCATGCACATCAAACACCACACCATGCACCACACTATGCACCACATCATGCACATCAAACACCACACCATGCACCACACCATGCACATCAAACACCACACCATGCACCACATCATGCACCACACCATGCACCACACCATGCACATCAAACACCACACCATTCACCACACCATGCACATCAAACACCACACCATGCACCACACCATGCACATCAAACACCACATCATGCACCACACCATGCAC